CGAAGGCCTTCTCGTAGTCAATTAAGTTGACGATCAACTCTGAGTTCCACTCCAGGATCTGTTTCACTATGATGATCCTCAGCATAGCAACCTGGTCAGTGGTTGAGTGGGGTTTTTTTTTTTTTCGATAACCAGCCTGCTAATCCCGATTTCTTTGACACGTTGCAGTCTTGGTTCTCTCCAGAATAATTGTGTTGAAGACCTTACCTGGTGTTGAGAGAAGAGTGGTCCCTCTGTAGTCGCTGCAGCTGCTTTTTGGAAGCTTCACGGGGTGTCTTTCTTTCCAATCCTTAAGGAATTTGCTCTCGTTCCCTATCATGGTACTGGTACCTGGTACTATTGTCAAAAAGGTTTGACCAGACTCGAGTCCTTGCCACTGTGATACCTACATATGTACTGGTTTATTTGGCCAGGCTGAAAACGTTTACCTTTAATATCCAGCATTCACTTCACTTCTTTTCCTTGTATGCTTACCTAAGTTTCCGCTATTTTGGTCACTGTGGCCTTTTTTGGGGGGCCTGAATCCAGTTGCTGCAGGGTGGTATGGAGGCCACGCCATCTCTTCCCTCACATGCGGTAAACGCCGCCCACGGTTTGATGGGCCTAAAAAAGTCCCCTGATACCTTCACGCCAGTCTCCTTTGATCTTTTGCTTCCTTTATTTGTTTAGTTGGGGGGGGGGGGGGGGGCTACACCCTCAAACCCCTGATTCGGCTCAAAATTATGGAATTTGAGTTGTAGGCATTTTTAACTTCCTCAGCCTCTCCTACAACTATTTCATTGCATAAGAACCCCCAAAACCGTATTTTTCCCATACCGGGCATGTTTATCACCACCATTTCCTCATAAAGTCAATACATGTATTTTATTTTTCTTTACCGGCCGTTTTCTCAAAACGCGACTTTTCGCTATACTTTTTTGAATAACTCCACCATTTTTCATCCAATCTTCATGAATTTTTCACAGAATGAAGAGAAGATATAATACTACATATTTGTCTGTTGAGTTTGTTTTGTATTTGGAATAGTTTTTTTTGGGTGGTGTCTTGAGTGTGAATTTTCACGGAAATTTTTGCAAAACAAACTTTTAGATCTAATGTTTGTTAACACGCATGCAGAAAAAAAAGAACAACAATTAATTTCCATGAGCAGTAAGTGCGGTATTCATTACGTAATACATGTCAACAAAATCCAATATGGCCGCCGTATCCATGGAAACGAAACGTTTTCTCAAATTTGATTGCTGTTTTAAAGACTCCTTACTATGCTTGTTTTATGTGTGAAAGTTGGTAAAATTCGGTCCCGTAATAAGCGAGATAGCCATCACCCCCCTTAAACATTGCCACCATATAACCACTCGAGTCCATCTGACCCCATTTCACAAATAGCTTGTGCCTCAAATGGTAGGCCCTACTGCTGTTTTTCGGCTTTCTTTCTGATGTGATTTTTTCTTGAGCGTGACCCAGAAAAAAAATTGCGCGTGTCAGCGATTTCACTGCTGATTCTGTCTTGTCGGTAGTTTTACCTTTTGATATAGCTAGGTCCGTTATTATTTCAGCGGACCTAGCAACTTCTGCTATGCTTTTCTGCTGAGAAGCCAACCTCATGTCCTTTTTCTGTTTATACGAAAGGGTCCAAATTATTTTTATTTGTCAGTCTTACAAGTATTGTAAGGGTAGGACAGTGTCGTTTGTATCTTAGAATGTTTCCCTTTATCTTGTCTCCCTTCAACGATTCGGCCATGGTAGTCTCGCTAAACTTAACCAAGTGTCGCGCTGTTGGGTGTTTGGAAGTCGTGCTTGGTCTATATTTTTGTACTGAGTCTTTATAGTATGTCCCTGTACAGCTGTAGGCATTGTTTCTTTTCAGGGAATGGATTTTGACAGATTTTGTTTAGTAGGTTTCAAAACGGTTTAGCTTATCACTGATCAGGGTCGTGTTGTTAGCTCAGTTTGTATAACGCCGGACTACAGAGCAGACGGCAGTGGTTCGAATCCCCTTGAGTTTGTCATTTGATTGTTGGGGGGTGGAGGCGGCGGGTTAATACGGGCTGCCCATTATGGCTGGATCGAGCCGATCGCCTGACTCGGTCACCAGCAACTGAAGAGAGAGAAAGAGAGAGAGAGAGAGAGAGAGAGAGAGAGAGAGAGAGAGAGAGAGAGAGAGACAGACAGAGAGAGACAGAGAGTCCCGCCGATCCCATCCGTAGTGGGCACCCCGTATTAGGCTCATAGCCATTTGTCTTGATTCTATAGAACACCATTGAATTCGGAAGGCCCGTCTCTTAAATTATAACTCCTGAAGTGTTGATAGTAATGATAGAGGCGTTAAAATTTATTATTTGGCAAATAACTTACCAGATTTAATTTTTACAATGTCCTACTATCAATTATCGGTACTTGAGGCGTTGAATATACAATGTACTTCATAATGATGCAAATGATTTTTACTCTGTAAAAATATATAAGTCGAGCCACCAATTGTAACGTAATGACTGATGAAGACAACACCGATGAAGACAGTGTGATTGATAGAGGTAATGTGATTTTCTTTACACAGCACCAGTCATCGTATTTCAAGGACCCAGATTACAGAAATTTAATTGTTGTTTAATATCACTAAGATTGAAGAGACAAGGACAGTTTGAATCTGCCAGACATTGTAAAAGAATCGTTACATCAAGTCATAAAGAAACATGTACAGTGGAAACCATATATAACAGGCCTGGTAATAACAGGGATCCGGTAATAACAGGGATTTTCCCCTACTCTTTGTCTCTATTAAATGTTATCGGCAATAACAGGGCCTCATCTGAGCCCAACCGGTTATAGCAGGGACAAAGGCTCGTTAACAATGTGTAAAAAGTAAGAGAGAGAGAGAGAGAGAGAGAGAGAGAGAGAGAGAGAGAGAGAGAGAGAGAGAGAGAGAGAGAGAGAGAGAGAGAGAGAGAGAGAGAGAGAGAAAGAGGAAGAGAGAGCAAGCAAGCAAGAGAGTCATGCCACTGCAAGCACACGCAGCGTGTGAAGCGAGAGAGGGCGATGGTGTCTAGCCCGAAACCTAGCAATACGCGTGCGTAATGTGTCTACTGTCACCAACGATGTCAAACGCAAGAGAAAATGTCTTTCAATTGAAAAAAAAACAACCCTGAAATAATCCAGGCTGTTGACAAAAAGCAGGCTCCACTGGCAGAGATTTGTCATCAGTTCGAAATTTCACAAGGGTCGATTCACACCATTATCAAGGATAGAGAGAAGATAGTGGCAGCATACTCCAATGAAAAGTTTGCTCTGGATCGAAAGAAGATGAGACTACCCGATGCAGATGCTGTGGACCAAGCTCTTCTGGTGTGGTTTAAGGAGGCAAGGAGAAAGTTGGTGCCAAAACCCCTGTTCGTGGGTACTTGTGCCAAAGGAAACTACCCATGAATAAGTACAGCTGGATTAGTCCACAAATGCTTACTTTCCTTGCATCTCTGATTTAACAGGGATCGGATATAACAGGACTTTTTCTCTACTCCCACAATCCCAGTTATAATATCAGGTTTCCACTGTAGTGTAAAGCAAGACTGTGTGTAGCCACAATACGTTCATTTCTTAAGCTGGACAAAGAAATTTACTCTCATAGCACAAGTCTTTATTTATCTAGTAATTCTGTCATTAATATGATGTCGACCAGTGACAACGTACTGGACTAACTAATAATGATTAATTTATATCTATCGTTGCTACTGGACAGCAAGCTACATGAGTTAGATCGGTGAACATCTTGCCGCTTTAAAATTATTACAGTTTTCCTAGTTTTTGTTTGCTGATTTTCAGTCTTCTTTTCTTCCTTCTCACCCC